CTCATCTTAGGAGAAAAATGAGAAGCATTTTAGACCATTGGATGTAATCTCTAAGATCATTTCACGTAGGGATTGCTTTGGAATTTCACTTTGAGTAGCATTAAATGCCAAGCTATTAACGTTAGTTTCCCTTTTTATTTTAGGAAGTACCATTATTGACATTAATGTAAGTTTCTTATTTCTAACCCGTTTAATTTCTCATTAAATCATATACTTGAAGCATTATTTTTAATCATTATCACACTTTCGTTTTATTTTTTTTAATCATATCACACCTTCGTTTTATTTTTTTAATCATATCACTATCTTAATTAATTTATGAGTGAAAATTATTGCAATATAAAGTATTATGATTGCATTTTATTTTTAATTTAATATTGTCACTTTTAACAACCTTATATTGCAACGTAACTTTTGTATAGGCAAGTCATAACACTTTTAACATGCTTCAATCTTTGTGTGAATGAGATTAATTGGTAAATTAACAGTTACACAAAAAAAGGATTTTAATAAGATAAAATGTGCATGTTAATGAGATAAAAAGTGCATGTTAATAAAATAAAAAGTATTATTTATAAAAGTATATGTTAATGTTATTTGATGCACTTATATGCTCATATACGTTGCACTTCTACATTATTCATGGGGCCTGCATTATTAATATATGAAAGTGCAATAACTACAACAAATTGATGCATTTGTATGTTAATGTGATTTGATGCACTTATATGCTCATATAAGGTGCACTTTTACATTACTCATGCGGTCTGCATGATTAATATCTGAAAGTGCAATAACTATAACCAATTGGTGCATTTCTACATATTTCGAATTATGATTTATATAATTAATAAATTTGGAACATTTTCCCTTTATTTTACATGCACGAGATGTATAAAGTGCAAAAACTTTGTGGATAAGTGCAAATACATAAATATTGAAATGCATTCATTTTTCTCTGACAACCTATACATGATCCACCGTTATGCACTTATGCACATTCCAACTGTATTTATTGCAAAATATGCATGGTCAATAATTGCACTTCAATAGACATGTATTACACTTTTTACACATTCCGGAAATTTATAATTTTATTTTAAAATGAAATATAAGGGAGCTTTCAATAACCATTTGTAGAACACTAACTTTTTAAAACGTAATTGAAAAACTATTTAATTAAAGCAATTAATGAACCTAATCATTATATAATAATTGACTTCTAAAAAGGAAAGTTTGAAACATGGAAAATGTTTGAGCTACGGTTGGACATAGATGCCCTTACAATCAATTTAATGTTAGACTTTCCAATTAAAACAATTTAAGTGGCCAATAATTGAGGCTAATAACTGCCGGTAATCTCTTTTTGTGTACATTCGATCTATGATATGAAGGGTTGGATTTCATTCTTTTTTCTCTCCTAAGAGATCATTCTCACCGGAACCCTCCCTATATATATATATATATATAGGGTGTGGTTCCAATGAGAACGATGCTTATCGTGAGAACGTGAGAACAAATCTAAACCAATCATCAAAATTAATCAACGGATGATTTATATCTTGTACACCTAATTATGGTGTGAACAATCCTAGAAGATAATTTCCATACCTAAAAGATAGGACTTACGGTTCTTTATCAAAGGGTGAAATTGTAATTTTGAAAAGGGGTATTTAATGTGGATAAAGTATAACGTAGCTCACTTCCTTAAATTAGGGAAGTTTAAAATACAATTAATAGTTCTTACCAAAATAAAATCAACTAAAAATAAATGATAACACATGTCATATATATAGCATATACGGTTGTGATATAATACACTGAAATTTATACAAATTGTACATGAATATAATGCAAATGAACTAGTATCTAACACACAATAAGTATATAAAATATTCAAACAAGTCTCTTGAGCACAAAAACCCGAATCTAGTGCACAACAATTAAAAACTAATTCATATCTAATGAACAATGACTTCATGATTTTGGTTCAAATAAGAACATGATCTTAGGAGAGAAATGAGAATGAATCTCGACCGTTAGATTTTCTTTATGTGAAATTTAATGTGCATTAGATGAAACTAAAATGTGTATTAGGTGAACTTGAAATCTACAACACAAAGGGTACAATACAGTGGCATTATGTGAAGCTGAATTATGCATTAAAAAAAATTAAAATGTGCACTAGGTGCAACTGAAATGTGTAGAATAAAAGGTATGATGTGATGTTATTTTTGTACCTTTTATTTTGCACATTTCAGTTTCACCTAATGCACATGTGAGTTTAAATTTTTATGCTGCACACTTCAATATCATCTAGTGCACTTTTCAACTTCACCTAATGCACAATTCATTTCCACATAATTCAATCCAACAGTTTAGATTTATTCTCATTTCTCTCCCGAGAATCCATTCTTACCGTCGGAACCGCTCCCATGATTTCATAAACCTTAAACTATTATATAACACCCATGTATCAGTATCTAACGCATAATATGTATGTAGCCCAAGAATAAATACCTAATGCACAAGAATCAATATCAAACTCACAATCACCATGGTTAAATGCACACGAAAAATTATCATGCATGTTATACTTATACTCCGTATAACACACAAGAATGAATATATAATACACAAAAAACGTTAGATAGAAAACACACAAGAAAAAAGTGTTTGACGCACATGAATAAATATGTATTAATTAAATGAAACAAAAATGGTAATGTAATGATTGCTTCCAAAAATGACTTATTTCAATTCATATAATAACTTCAAAAAGTTGGTTACAAACTACAAATAAATACGTTTAACTTCAAAATGATATTATACATATTTTATTTTACAAAAATTGCATATGACATATTGGTGTCATATGAAAGAGCATAAAAAGTTATTTAATTTGGTATAATTTTTGTTAAAATTGGATTATTATTTAAGAAGTTAAATCAATTTTTAAACTAAAGATATTTTATATGATTTGAGATTTATTATTACCTAATTTTTGGGGAAATGACAAACTCCATCCGTATGGATACCTTTTAAAATTACCATGTGAGAAACATAAATGTGAGAAGACGTAAATGTCCTTTCATACGTCTCATTTAATCGCAGATTGTTATTGATTTTGGATGGCTGAGATGTGTTCTCACGTTCTCACGTTAAGACTCGTTCTCATTTGAACCAAAATATATATATATATATATATATATATATATATATATATATATATATAGAGGAATGATCCTGTCCAGCCGGAGGGACAGGATCTTCCGTCCGGCCGCCGCCGTTTGGGGCGGTTCCCGGTGGAGTTTTTTGATGAAATTTTTATGGAATGTTCCTCATCAAGTCTAGTTTACCCACAAAAAATTTCAGCTAAAAATTCGATCGGGAAGGCAGTCAAATAATTTTTTGAAGATAACTGCTCCAACTTAAACATATAAAACGCAGTTATGTTTCAAAACATTATTTGACTGCCTTCCCGATAGAATTTTTAGCTGAAATTTTTTGTGGATAAACTAGACTTGATGAGGAACATTCCATAAAAATTTCATCAAAAAACTCCACCGGGAACCGCCCCAAACGGCGGCGGCCGGACGGAGGATCCTGTCCCTCCGGCTGGACAGGATCTTTTCCGTATATATATATATATATATATATATATATATATATATATATATATATATATATATATATATATATATATATATATATATATATATATATATATATATACATATCTATATATATATACACACTCTCTCTATCCCGCTAACAATGGGACAAGAGAGTGACACGCAAACTAATAAAAAGTGAGTTATGTGGTTGATATTGAATTGATAAAGTAAGAATAAAGTAAGAATAGTTTGGAGCCATACAAATTTTGCCTAATTTGGTATGAGACAATCTTAGTGGGACGGACCGAAAAGGTAAAATGAGACAATCTTAGCGGGACGGATGTAGTATATACGTAGTATTAAAAATCATTTTAAATAACACGTTGAATTTCTCTTCATTGAAGTTTAAAGAATACAATATTATACGTTATTAAATGCACAAATGTTTTAAAGTCAAAACTAAAAAGAATGAATGTAGTACTGCCTCCCTCCGTCCCATTTATAGGTTCACGTACATTATTCTCCGGTCAACGTGCATTGTTTTTAATCTTTTACTTTTTATATTGAAAGTTTATGAAAATTAAATTATTTTTTTACCGGTTTTGTAGCGGCTCCGTCACTGTGCGGCTCTGTCGGCCCAACTTCTTCAGCTTCGGTGTGCCGCCTTCGTTGTCCTGTTGCCTGGGAAGCCAGAAAATGAAAAGAAAAAGACAGAGATGAAGAAAGGGGCGTTGAGAAGGAGAGAGATGGATGCGATAAGTTAAATGATGGGCTGCTGTTATGTGACGTGTTCCGTTTCAAATTAAAGAATAGAGGGGTAAATATGTCCATGTATATTAAAAATACTCCTATTTAGGTCATTAAAAGAAAGAACTCCTATTTTGGTAAACGGGCCTTGTTTCACTCCTATGTTAGACCATTTCTCTATGTAAATTTTATTTATTAAAAATAATCTATTAATGACAGAGATCAGTTAACTTTATGGTCAGTCAAACATCGTAAATCGTGTGGGAACCTTAAAGTGGGACGGAGGGAGTACTACGTATAATTATGGGAAAATTGTCAAATACGTCCTTGTATTTTTAGGAAAAATGTCAATTGGATCCTGGATGTTTTTCGTGAATCATTGAATCCATGAAGTATTGAAAAAAGACCAAATCTCTTACTCGGTATTTTGTAAGTCATCATCCGATTTTCTAGTTAACAACCTAAATGAATGCTTACCTCCCTTTTTTAATTTTAATTTTTCTATTGTTTTGAAAAGGGAAAACTATCAAATAAGCCCCCGTACTATACCGAAAAAGTCGATTAGACCCTCGTACTTTACAAACAATCAATTAGGTCCTCGAACTATTAAAAAACGTTCAATTAAGCCCTTTCGGTCGGTAAGTAACCGCTTTCCCGGTTAAATGTAACCCGTTTCCCGGCAGCCACCGTTGCTGGGGGTTCGAGCACATCGTCGCCGTCGTCGCCGTTTAATCGGGAAACCGGTTACTTACCGACCAAAAGGGCTTGATTGAACGTTTTTTAATAGTTCGAGAACTTAATTGAGTGTTTGTAAAGTACGAGGGCCTAATCGATTTTTTCGGCATAGTACGGGAGCTTATTTGATAGTTTTCCCTTTTGAAAATTTTCTTTTCTTTTTCTTCTCTTTCTTTCCTTCGATCTCTCCCAGACCGTCGTTCTTCTTCTCCCCCCCTCTGCGTTTCTTTCTCCGGCGAAAGATTTCAGGCCTCCACCATACCACTACCTCTCCATTTCTGCCAATCATGCCTCCGTACCCACCACCTCCGCCGGCCGCCGGCCCTACCTTCATACAATCATACCCACCGGCCACCGTTTCCGCCGCCCGGCCGCCCCTAACTCCATACCCACAGCCGTCCGGCCAACCCTGCCTCCGTACCACATCCTCCGCTGCCCCTACCTTGACGCCCACTTGCCACCGTCGCCGCCGCCCCTGCCTCCATACCACCACCTCCTTTGCGGCACCACCCTACCTCCATAGCTACAGCCTCAGTGCCTCACAGCCCCTTCTGTGTTCCCGATGGAAACCTGAAAGGCTGAAACAAGGGAAAGGAGTGAATTTGGCAGGAGAAAGAAACAAAATGCAGACATGAGGGGAAGAAGAACGGGTAAATGGGGGAGAAGAACGGGTCTGGGAAAGAAAAAGAAAGGAGAAAGAGAAAAAGAAGAAAGAAAGAAAAGAAAAAAGTAAGAAAACAAAGTAAAAAAGTTAATATCAGCCAACTAGGCTTCCCCTAGGCACCAACCTGGAAACTTGCTTATGACGTACAAAATAGCAGATTTGATCGTTTTTCAATACTTCATGGACTCAATTGATTCACCAAAAAATTGGAGGACTCAATTGACGTAAAAGTGCATGAATCTATTTGACAATTTTCCCTATAATTATTAAAAGTAGGGGGATAATTGTACGAGTAGTATTAATCATCCTAGTTAAATATATTTTTCTTTTTCTTTTTGCGTTTTCAATGAATTTTTTGATCGTCTTTTACATTCATGTTACCGAATAAAACATGCACGTAACAACCTTGTTTAATTTCCGCACCACATTTAACATCATACTATGTATATACGTAGTACTACGTATATACGCACATTCACATTCACAAGAACACAACCAACTTCTTTCTAGTCCTAGATAAATTTCCTTAGCTTTGTAACATGAATGTGAATGATGTGACGTGTTAATAGTAACTGATGTTATGACTTTGGAGTTGTTTTGTAAAAAGCAACACAATATCATAATATATCAACTGTTTAATAAATTAAACAATAGTATTAGTCTGTAACTTTAAGTAAGAACCAGTCTTTTTTGAAAGAAGGTGCTTAAATTATGATAACAGAACATAAGCAAGTTATAAAATGAAAACAAACCTTTTGTTTGTTGTCCGCTCTAGAACCAGACTTAGAATCAATCACCTCCGTAGAAGTAATTAGATTCGCTGATCCTGCTTTGAGCTTAATTGAGCAATGGCTTGCAAACCAGACTCCTCATCACCTTTCCTAGGTTCTAGAGTTTTCTTGCCGGAAAAACACGACACAACCAAAACAAAGTAAAGATCCAAATAAAAACAAAACATGAAAAAATCTAAAGAAGCAAAAATAAAATTCTTGAACCCTAGCACCTCGTTCAACCCCTGGCGGTGGTTCAGGAGGAGACCAGGTCACCGCTATGATTGTTGACGTGGAGTGGATCGAAGCATCAACCAATCGGAGTAGATTCCTCTTGCCCGAGCTCCCATCCGTCGTGCTCACTGCCCAGCCATCTCCGACGGAGCATCTACCCTTCCCGATTAGCCCTCCTGTTTGCCGCTGGTCTCCTGCTATCACCTTGTTCTCGATTGGTGGCTTCGAAGCTGCCTTCATCGAGTGGTAATCGAGTCCGCACACAACCCTACCCGATTTGCACCCCTAGCGATGTTCAGAAACTGGCTGCTCCAGGTTGTGCGTCGTGAATTAGCAAAAAACCTAGGCCCACCACTACCTGTTTACTTGACCAAAGCCCAGACTGTCAAGCTGCTACCTTCGGAACTCACCTGCGCTGTTGAAATATGCTCCTAGATTACTCGGTGCTACAAGAAGAAGGATGACCGGACCACGCGCGTGATTGCCGTCACCGCTGGAAGAAACACCTAGAGATCAACCCTAGAGACGGCCGTTGAGTAAAATTATACTTATTGAATTTTACAAATTTATTAAACCAGAAGTTTACCCACCGCCGGAAGTAACACCTAGGGATTAACCCTAGAGACGGCCGATGAATAAAATTATACTTCTTATTGAATTTTAATTACAAATTTATTAAACCCAAAGTTTAGAAATTGCATTGATCATAAAGTAAGAACTAGTATTGATTTACTCGTTTCTCTCCTCTTTTTCACATTAATGGTATGTTTAATTGTTTAGTTGCTCGAATATTCTAGGGAAGCCACAACAAAGAATAATATAAAAACTAATTTAAAAAGGTTATTTCTTATCCGAAAGTGCAAAGGAATTGAATGGAGAAAAAATTAACACTTTTCACACACACATATATAATGTGTATAGATTTGTTAGTTCTTCTAGTAATAATTTCAAGGAAAAGTTTGTATTTGCACCTGATCGTGTCTACATGTTTTAATTTGCTTTAATTAATTTGCGTTACATGTTTTATCTGCTTTAATTTGCAACGTTACGTTGAACACGGTAAAACACAGCCTCTCAAATATTTGGATAAACATGCGTGTTAAGCTTTAATTTGATCTTCATTTTTACTTTTATTCTCCGTATTTTACTATCGCTACTCTCTGATCTGATACATTGGGGAGAAATTAAAATATAGAAAAACATGAAAGTAAAACGACAATTATTAAGAAATCATAATGTATGTATCAAGATTAATTATTGAGTATGATCCACTTTTTCCTTAACAGTTAGATTTCTTTCCTTCAATTTTTCCTTTCTATTCATTTCTCAAGATTTTTCAAGTGGACGACTCTTAATATATGATTCATGGATCAAAAGTGAAATATAGAATACAAAAGCATAATTCCAATTCAACCAGCAGATCAGATTAAACAACTGGGATTAATTATGATTAAACAACTGGGGTTCCTTTCGATCTATATGTTAAGCTACTTAGTTATACTACGTATTAATTACGGAGTATAAAATAACAAGGATTCTTTAATTTAATTATACAAATGTATTATACATGTATGTCGGCAAGATACAAACAAAGGAAATGAACAAATTAAATAACTAATACGAAGTATTTCGTGCAATCCTATACATGTAACGTTATTAATTAATCAAGCATAACGTGCTAGCTGGTATATATGCCTAATGCTTACATATATGGATGAAATGTACGTATAATTAAATACACAATACATCTTAATTAAGATAATGTAAGTTACCATAGACTTATTTGTGTTCAAAGATTAGTACGTATATATATGCTCTCCTTCAATTCTTCCTGTTTCTTTAATTTTGATGATGGATCAACTAGTAGTCCCAAATGGAGTAATGATCAATACCTTCAACATCCATGTTGCCATCACCACCATGATAATAAGCTAGATCCCCGTCGAGGTCAGGCTCAAATGTCGCCTGCAGCTGGCTGCTCTGAACCTCGGTGGTCTGGTTCAACTCCGATGACCCCGAGGTTGTTTCCGTAGTGGCAGCCACATCGGGGCTTAACTCCATTGTCTCCTGAGAGGAAGTATTGATGACTTTGTTGACCGAAAATCCTTCCACTCGCAACATTGGACCTGCTGCCACCTGAGGTACGGTGGCGGCTTCGAGTGCGCGAACATGGGATTGTTCGGGTTGTCGTGACTTGTGGGGTTATTGTTTAAAGGAAGGAAAGTGTAATCTGTCTCGGGACGAAAATTGGATTGTCGTCCCAAGGCATGACCCTGGCTACCACTTAAGTAGTCATATGATGGCACTATCATATGTTGGTTGGATTTGAAGTGGTCTTGGTTGGAACTGCCGATATTAGGAAGTAAATGAGTTGATGAAGAGGATGAGCCATCACTACCTTTTGCCGGAGCATGGAAGTAGTCCGTCGCCGGAGCTTCAAGCGGTGGTGGTGGTGATGTTGGAATCGTGGTTAAGCTGTCCACGAATGAATAATCAGTCTGATCATAGTTTTCCATATGGAGTCCTCCTTCTGCTCCAACTCCTGCAATGCTCTTGTAGAACACTTTACTCACCGCCCAATCCTCCTGTACATCAAATTCCCAATATAAAATCATTATGAATATATATATTTTAAAATGACAATGTAACTAGGGAAAAAAACTAGAAAGAACGAGTGCTAGCTTTCGATGAAAAAAGAGAAATTTATTTATTTAAAATGAAATTCTTTGATTATAAATTTATATAAGACCAAAGTGAAAAGGATTGTATACTTCATATCAAAAGGATGTTCAAGATCTATTTAATACGTATCACTTGGATACAACAACAACATCCAAGCCTTAATCCAAAAGAATTTGGGATCAGTTAAAATGAATCGATTCATGCTATTAGTGCAAAAAGAGAAGAAAGATAAAGGAAAAAATGTAAGATAGAATGAATAAAATAAAGATACATATAAGATAACAATAACACAAGAAAATAAGAAAAATAAAAGATAAATGAGCATAAAATGATACTTGTAGAAGATAAAAAAACATAAGAACATAAAGAGGTAATGAAGATAAACGATAGAAGAAAAAGAGAGAGGAAAATATAGAAAAGAGATCACTCGTACTATACACACGAATGTGTATCACTAGCTTAGATATCAAATATTAATTTGGTTACTTCTTCTATTAGGTTTATCATGAAATTTACCCGAATCTTATCTATTAATCAAGATGCAAGTAGCTAGTTGCACATAAAAATTGTATTGCATTTTCAAACCAGACAAAGTATCATATGAAATCATAGAAATAGATAAAAAAAAATATATTAATTAATCAATAATGATTAAAATCTCTCACCCTATTTGATGATGATTTTTGGGGGCCTTCAAGCCTATACTCACGCATGATCCAGTTAGTTTTCACTGCATTAGGAGCTCTACCTCTATAGAAAACCAGGGTCTTTTTCATTCCAACCAGGCGCTTATTACCCCTTCCCATGAAGATCTCTGTATCTTTCCCAGTGGCCTTCCAGTAACCCGCACCCGTCGCCCTGTTCGTCCTCGTTCCCATCGGGTACTTCCTGTCTCTTCTGGAGAAGAACCACCATTGCCTCTCTCCCCATTTTGCTATCTCTACCCAAAACAGACACACAAATCAACATTTAAAAGTACTCATACATATATGCATGAAAAAACCCTTTTGTACACACTTTTACTACTTACACACTTTTACACATTCTTGTGAAATTTTTTGTTTGTTTGTGAATACACCGTTCAGAGACAAAACATGTCTGTCCATGAACAGTGTATGCACACACAAAAAATACCTTCATAGGTATGCCTAAAAATGTGTAAACAGTAAAATTGTGTACATCAAGAATTGTTACGTTGTATATGCATTAGGCAATTAGGGGTCCTTTTGAACTTGACCCACCCCAAATTTGGTAAAAAGTTCTCTACTTTATGCATAGAAACATGATCTTTATGCAATAGATTTCGCAAACTATATATGATTTTTTTGCACCAGCACACCCCAGTCCCCCGTATTTCTTCGAGCTGTACATGTATATGCATGTATATAATACATATATACGTGTGTGTGTGTATATATATATATATATGTTGCTTAAATGCGTTATATAGCTAGGGACATAATGTATTGCTGAGCATTTAAGAAAAGCTAAAGA